CCCAAGAAGCCCTCCCAACAGACGCGGAGAAAGAGGCAAACGAATCAGAACAACTACACGCCTGCAACGCGTCGGAAAAAAACAAGAACTCATGAGAAACGAGAAACCGCACAATCATAGCTGGCGAGGGCGGAACGGCGCAAGCCTCTCGAACCCGCCACCGTGCCGCCGGGCACGGAGTGGGCGTGCCCTCAGGTCCTCTGCCTCTTGCTCCGAGCCTCTCAGCCCTCAGTCCTGAGGAGTCTCCTGACTACCTACCAGACCACCCCAACCCAACCCGAAGACCCGAATTTGACCCGAATTTCGGGTTGGGGGGGGTACGGGCTCCATGTGATTTCTCATCGTTCCCCGACCCCCCCCCCACTGGAAACGGAGGGCAGATTGGGGTTTTCGGGTTGGGTTGGGGTGGTTTGGTAGGTGGTGATCTCCAGGGGTCCCTGACCCCAAATGGTCAAATCTCCTTGAGCTCGCCGCGTGCCCCCTGTACGAGCGCGCAGGCGAGGTGACCGTCCACGGTTGAAGGGAAACTGGGACACACAAATAAATACACACAAATAAAATGATTCCCCATATTTTCCCATATTTTCTGGGCTTTTGTCTTCCCCCCCACTTCCCATATTTTCCTATATCTTCGGGGAATCGCAAATGAATTGTGTCTGTGTGTGTTTTTGTTCCCTCCTGAACGGTGCGCACGGGAGGCGCCGGCGGCGCGCGGCCGGCCGGCTGTGCGGGATGGCCCGGGCGAGGGGCGAAGGGGGCGCTCGGAGCTCGGAGAGCTCGGCCTGCCGCTGCCGCTGGCCCGGGCGTGGCAGGCGGGCGCCGCCGTTAGCGGAAGGCACGTGAAGTATGTGCGAAGCTGGGAAAAAGTCAACGGACAGGTAGGTAGTGATTCACGGATGGAAAAAAAAAAAAAAAAAAAAAAAAAAAAAAAAAAAAAAAAAAAAAAAAAAAAAAAAAAAAAAAAAAAAAAAAAAAAAAAAAAAAAAAAAAAACACAAACAAAAACAAAAAAAGAAAAAAAAAAAATGAGACAGGAGAACATGACAACGCACAACCACAACGCAAGTTGGAAGCGGTTGGGTCGCCAGATTGATTTGCAGACTCGCCGCGACGAGCGCGCGCGCGCGCGAGCGCTGCACCTATGGCCGTCTTCCTCTCTTACTGTATGCCAGGTGTTGTTTGGCTGCACAACACAACAAGCCAGGCGCGCAACTTACACAATTTGTTTACCACCCAGAGGGAGCCCAGCGGCGAGAACAGGTGACGAGCAGACGCGGGAAAGCCGGAAGAGGAGAGGAGGAGGAGGGGGGAGGAGGAACGAGGAGGACAAAAGCGCGCCTGGCGAGCACACGGGACAACGGCTGCCACGGGCAGCCGTCGCGAAGCCAATTACAACACACACACATGCTCCCTGCTCGGGCGAACCGCAGCCGCGGCAGGCACCGAGGCGGCGCCGGCGATCAGAGCCGATGGCCATGCCCACCGACCCCCTAACCACCCCCTCGTGCCACAGAGCCCCATCCGCGCTTGCCCAGCACAGAAAAAAAGAGCTCGGTGCTCCCCGCGAGAGCGCCCGAAAGGGCATGCACACCACTGCCGCCCCTGTCCCACCCCCGCCGCCTCAAATGTCCAAGAGCGGTAGCGGTGGCGTCTCCCTCCTCGCGCCACTTGGGCCGTGAGGCTCGAAACGGCCACACGACAGTAAAAGAAGAAGAATAGGCATAGGCACATAAACGTTTTGGATCTGCGCTGGACACCCCTCCCTCTCTCTCGAAGAAGAAGAAATAATCATAATAATCATCATCATTTCGCCATAAACGTAAGCACTTGGCACTCCAAGCGGATTTCTTGCATCTACGCTGAACCCCCCTCCCTGGCGCGCGGAGCGCGCCAGGGGCAGCGCCAGCGCGGATCCAAGAAATTCGCGCGGAGCGCCAAATGTTTACGTATACGGGAAACTGAATAGTATTATGAGTAGTGTCGATATTCCTTCTTCTTATTATTACCATTATCCGCCGACCCCTTGTGGGTCTCTAGGCGTGTGAGATAGTTCCCCCCCCATAGTCCCCCCCCATGGGACCCCAAACCGGCGATTTGACCCCCCCCCCCGGGCCCACGCCGAGCGACTCACGGGCCTCTTTTGGGCCCAAATGGGCCTCAAGACGGGCCAAGAAGGCCCCAAGACGTCTCCCAGACGGCCCACGAGGGCCCCGAGACGCCAAACGAGCGCTCCAAGACGCCGAAGACGAGCCAAGAGGCCTCCAAGACGGCCCAAGAGGCCTCCAAGAACAGTCCTCAGAAGGGCCGAAAAGCCGAAAATCATCAAATTCCTATGGGAAAACGTACATTTTCATCATATACGACTCGTCGGCCTTTACGGCGTTGAAGACGGGCCAAGAGCACCCCAAGACCGCCCCAAGACGGCCCAAGAGGCCCCCAAGAGGCGCCCAAGTCGGCCCAAGAGGGCGCCAAGACGGCCCAAGAGGCCCCCAAGACGGCCCAAGAGGGCCCCAAGACGGCCACAAAGAGGGGCCCAAGAGGGGGAGCTTGAACCGACAATCGAGCCTTCCGCCCCAGACGGCCCAAACGAGCGCTCCAAGACGCCGAAGATGGCCCCAAGACGAGCCAAGAGGCCTCCAAGACGGCCCAAGAGGCCTCCAAGAACAGTCCTCAGAAGGGCCGAAGAGCCGAAAATCATCAAATTCCTATGGGAAAACGTACATTTTCATCATATACGACTTGTCGGCCTTTACGGCGTTGAAGACGGTCCAAGAGCACCCCAAGACCGCCCCAAGACGGCCCAAGAGGCCCCCAAGAGGCGCCCAAGTCGGCCCAAGAGGGCGCCAAGACGGCCCAAGAGGCCCCCAAGACGGCCCAAGAGGGCCCCAAGACGGCCCCAAAAGGGGCCCAAGAGGGGGAGCTTGAACCGACAATCCGAGCCTTCCGCCCCAAGACGGCCCAAACGAGCGCTCCAAGACGCCCAAGATGGCCCCAAGACGAGCCAAGAGGCCTCCAAGACGGCCCAAGAGGCCTCCAAGAACAGTCCTCAGAAGGGCCGAAGAGCCGAAAATCATCAAATTCCTATGGGAAAACGTACATTTCATCATATACGACTTGTCGGCCTTTACGGCGTTGAAGACGGTCCAAGAGCACCCCAAGACCGCCCCAAGACGGCCCAAGAGGCCCCCAAGAGGCGCCCAAGTCGGCCCAAGAGGGCGCCAAGACGGCCCAAGAGGCCCCCAAGACGGCCCAAGAGGGCCCCAAGACGGCCCCAAGAGGGGCCCAAGAGGGGGAGCTTGAACCGACAATCCGAGCCTCCCGCCCCAAGACGGCCCAAACGAGCGCTCCAAGACGCCAAGATGGCCCCAAGACGAGCCAAGAGGCCTCCAAGACGGCCCAAGAGGCCTCCAAGAACAGTCCTCAGAAGGGCCGAAGAGCCGAAAATCATCAAATTCCTATGGGAAAACGAACATTTCATCATGTACGACTTGTCGGCCTTTACGGCGTTGAAGACGGTCCAAGAGCACCCCAAGACCGCCCCAAGACGGCCCAAGAGGCCCCCAAGAGGCGCCCAAGTCGGCCCAAGAGGGCGCCAAGACGGCCCAAGAGGCCCCCAAGACGGCCCAAGAGGGCCCCAAGACGGCCCCAAGAGGGGCCCAAGAGGGGGAGCTTGAACCGACAATCCGAGCCTTCCGCCCCAAGACGGCCCAAGAAGGCCCCAAGAGGCCCCAAGAGGCCCCCAAGACGCCCCTAAGAAACCCCAAAAGGCCCCCAAGAGGGCCCCAAACGGCCCCAAAACGGCCCCCAAGAGGGCCCCAAACGGCCCCAAAAGGCACCCAAGAGGCTTCGAAACTGCCTCCAAGAGTCCCGCGAGAAGCCCCCCAAGAGATCCCCGCGATCACCTCCTCCTCTCTCCTCCTCCTCCTCCTCCTCCTCCTCCGTCCTCTCCTCTTTCTCCTCTTCCTCCTCCTCACGACCACACGCTGCACGCCACATTGCAGGAGAATGGTGCCGGCACTGCATGCGACCCCAGAGAAACCACAACGCCTTTCGAACAGAGGGGTCGGCGGATGTGGCGTACGCCTATCGAATAATTGTTATGGTTCGTCTAATTTTACTGCTTCGTCTTCTTCTTCTTTAGGAAGGCACCAACTATACACCAACACCGATCCTGGCCAGGATCACCCTGGGCCCAGGATCGGTGCATACGCCCTCCTGCCTTGCGCAAGAAGGCATATACACCGATCCTGGGCCCAGGGTGATCCTGGGCCAGGATCGGTGTTGGTGTATAGTTGGTGCCCTCCGACTTCTTCTGAGAGAGAGAGAGAGAGGTGGCCCCAGGCATGAGTGACCGATCGCAGCAGGAGCGCGGCCTGCCGATCCCTGCCTGCGCTGCGGCGGCATCGGCACGTGCGTCTGTGCTCGGGCCCCCCGCGCCTCCCCCCCCCCCGCCCGAAGGCCGAGCACCAAACGTCACTTCTCCTCCTCCTCCTCCTCCTCTCCTCCTCTACCTCCTCCTTTTCCTCCTCCTCCGCCTCGCCCCCTCCTCCCTTCCTCCTCCTCTTCCTCCTCGTCCTCCTCGCCTCCGTCTCCTCCTCTTCCTCCTCCTTCCTCCGCCTTCCTCCTCCTCGTTCTTCTCCGTCTCCTCCTCCTCCGCCTCCTCCGCCTCCTCCTCTTTCTCCTCCTTCTCCGCCTCCTTCTCCTCCTCCTCCTCCTCCGCCTCCTCCTCCTCCTTCTCCTCATCCTCCAGAGCAGGATCGATCTTACGCGTAGCCGCCTGGGGTTGGCAGGGTGGCGCTTGAAGGATCTCACCCTCCCAGACCCGCCTCGCCCGCGCCTGCGCGCGGCGCGCCCCCTGCGGCACTGGCCCAGCTGCAGCGCACTCTCGTGGCCCCTGCGTGCGGTGTCGAGGGCCCCCCTGGGCCCCTCCGATCAGCTGAGGGCACCTGCACACCACCAACCCCATGCCTGGCCTGAGGTCGGGCATGTCCCCCTACAGGCAGGTGTTGAACGAAAAATGCAAAAGCAGTCAAACCATACTCACAAAATGATCTAACATAGTCGAAACAGTGTCCCCAGGCTATGTTTGACTATGTGTGAATACTCCTCCGGTAGAGGCGCAGGCCCGACTTAAGCCTGCCCGTGGCCATCCTGGGCCCTGGCATGGTGCATACGCTCTCGTCGCCGAGGCCCAGAGGGCCCTGCAGTCTGCACGACATCCCAGGGCCCAGGATGGCTCTGGCAAGGCACGGTGGCGATGGTGCTGTGTGTTTACGTCGGGCATGTCCTCCTACAGATGGGGTTTTTGGCCGAACGATACAAAATAGCCAAAAACTACTCCATAGTAACCATACACAATAATAATACAGAATCGCCCCCAGACTGTTTTGATGTTTTCGGGATATTCCTCCTGTAAGAGACACCCCCGACTTGACGATGGTACTGTATGCATGCATTGCGGATCCGAAGGGCCCGGGTCACCTGACTCGAGAGTTCCGCGCTGCGCAGTGCGCCACAATCGCGGCTGTCTCCGCGCCCCGGCTTGAGCAGGGTCCGACCGTCCTGGCATTCCCATGGACCTACCACGACATGTTCCCACAACCCAAGAACTGTTCTAAGAATCGAAACACTGTTCTCAGAACAGAAGCCCGACGCGCTAAAACAAGACAGTCTTGGCCAGACATGTTGAAGTGAGAGCATGTCGCGCAGACAACAAGAGGTTCTCAGCACATTCTCTGGCAGGCCTAAATAGGCGAGCTGGGACGCCTCGCCACTGCTTGACCCGCCACCCCCCCCCGTGGAGACGGGTCCGGGCCACCTCGCTCAAGAGCTCCGCGCTGCGCAGTGCGCCACAAGCGCGGCTGCCTCCGCGCCCCTGCGCCCACACACACCTCGAATGGGGAAGGGCAGCCCCCGGGTGGGGAAGGGCAGCCCCCGTGGAGAGGGCAGCCCCCGCGCCTCGAACAGGGCAGGGCTGTTCAATAACAACGCCCGGGGCCGTTCAAGAAACGCCGATCCTCGGGTCCGGGTGGCTTGTCCGCCGTCGAGGACGGGGGTCCAGGCCTTGGTACGGGGCTCTTCGTCGGGGAACAGGGGGACAGAGCATTGCACAAGCGTGTACATTCGGAGGTCCGCGCGGATGTCACGGATCTGCGCCCAGCCCCCCTCCCTGGCGGGCGGGCCCGACGCCGATCCAGTTTCGAAGGAGGGGAGGACGAAGACGGTGGGATCAAAGGGGACGTCAGGGAATCAGCTGAATGCATCTGGATTCCTGGCACCTCCCAGAGACAGAAGCCGCAAGGTATCGAGGAAGGCGCAAAGCGGCGGTGGGGCCGAAACACGTGGCACGCAACTCCCTTCATCCTCCACGACTTGGGCCTGAGGGTGCCCCTCAGCCCGGCGGCGCTGGCGGCCCGGCGCCAGAGCCAAGAAAAACATCTGGTGAAGCGTTGCTGTTCGTATGGCAGCTCACGCCTGGAGGCCCGAGTCTCCGAGGAGTTCGTCCACAGGCGCGGTGCTTGCTGCTGTGCTCCTCATCCGCGGGTGGTGCCTCCTATCCCCACTTGCTTGCGTCGCCTCCTCCGACCCCCGCTTACAGAACTGCTTTCCCCCCAGCGGGGAGCGTGCCTTTTTGACCTGACCCTCGATGCTGTCGACATCGACTTTGACGTCGACCAGCGCGTCGGACGCTTTGAGGGCCTCCGCTATGACGCACACAAGAGGCACGCCCCTGTGGTTGAGCGCCTCTGACGGGCGCGCACAGCAAAGATGGAGTCAGAGAAGGAAACGGTGACTGCATGCGAGTGGCGAAGAAGACAGGGAAGGATCCACGAACAGCACACACTCAAACCTGTAGGGAGGAGGAATGGGGAGGGGCAAGGCGAGGAACGCGCTGCAGGGATGGGTGCGAATCGTCGGACCCAGAAGGGGGGGTCCCGCTCGAGCGGGGACCCCCCTTCCGACGACACGCACCCGTAGCCCCTCCCAGAAGTCCACCCGAGGAATTCTAAGGGTCGAATAGGTATGGGTGCTGCAGTAGGGGCTCGACCACAAGAACCCTTCCACAGGAGTCCCAGCCCCGAGACCCCAGGGCGTCCACCGATTGCTGGCGTGGGCACGTCCCGTTTCACATGGCAGTAGCATCGACACCCAGAAAATCCAGGGCACCCTGGAGGCAGGCAGGGTGTTCCTTGGCATGGGTCTCCGCAGTAGTTGCCAGCTCGCGAGGAAAGAGACGACAAGGGGAGCTGGGCGAACTCAGATCATCGGGGGCGCGCAGACATGGATTAGCGATCCACGGATTTGGCGCGCGGGAACCGAATCCATTGATCGGTGGAGGTGCCCTCCCCAAAATACAGCCGGTGCCGCCTCGTTCGGCGGCGCGAACTCCGCGATCTCCCATGGAAAAGGGACCCGTCGCTAACCTCAGGTCGGGCATGTCCCCCTACAGGCGGATTTCGGAAGAAAAATTAAAAATACACCAACAATACTCCACAAATAATCAAACATACTCACAACAAAAAAAAACGTTCCCATAGTAGTTTGTAACTATTTTTGCATATTCCTCCTGCAGACTGAACGCTAATCCACGCCCCCTTGATCTGTGTTTGCGATCGCCTGAGATCCCCTGCTGGGGAAGAGCACGGGCACGGAGACGGCGGAAAAACGCCGCGGGCGCGCCCGCGGCCATTCCTGGCGCTCCCACTCCCCAATTCGTTCTCCCTGCCCCCTGCCACCCCCCCGCACAGTCCCCTGTCCTCGTTCCCGAGCTCCTCCACCACCTCCTCCTTCTCCTCCACCTCCTCCTGCGCCTCCTCCAACTCCTCCGACTCCAACTCCTCCTCCTCCTCCTCCTCCTCCTCCTCCACCTCCTCCTCCGCCTCCTCATCCGCCTTCTCGAACTCCACCTCCTCCTCCTCCTCCTCCTCCCTCCTCTCCCGCCTCCTTCCAACTCCTCCAACTCCAACTCTTCTCCTTCTCCACCTCCCTCTCCTCTCCTCCTCCCCCTCCTCCTCCTCCTCCTCCTACAACTCCTCCTCCTCCTCTTCCTACAACTCCTCCTCCTCTTCCTCCTCCTCCTCTTCCTCCTCCTCCTCCTCCTCCTCGTCCTCCTCCCACTCCTCCTCGTGGATGAAAACGAGGAGAGGTCGTTGACGAAGGCAGAGTGGGGAGGTGTTGGTAGGGATGGGACGTCACCGTGAATTGGCAGCCGCCCAGGGCCCAGGGCGTTCCTGGGCGCGCCAGGGACGTTCCGTGGCCATTCTGAGCTCCCTGGGAGGCCCCCAGGTGGGGTAGGGTAAGACACGTCGGTGCCCAAACCTCTCGTCCAGTCTCTGCAGAGCGGCGGCTGGCTGCAGCATGGTGCGCTCGCACAATGCTTACAAAGGAGGGATACGGAGGGAATGAGCAGGAGAAGGAGGAGGATAAAGAGGAGTGAAGGACGAGGGGAACAGGGAGAGGAGGGAGGAAGCAAGGAGGGATGGGAGGGAGACCCTCGCCCTGAGCCTTCACGCGGAACCTGCGGCTCCACGTCTCGATGCAGACCGGCGGGTCGGCGAACCCCAGCGTCCACTGGGCGTAGCCTGAGCCAAACTGCTCTCCACGAGCAATGAGCAACCCACATCCATCCCACGTGGTCGGGATCGGGGAACCCAGCAGAAAGCAATCCATCAATGCTCGGCCACCATGCAGCGCTGCCGCTTCCAAAACACCTTGGCATCACAGCCACCTGTTCGCCTCATGTCCGTGGGCGAAGCGTGTTACTCATACTTACTTGACTACCCTCCTCCTCCATCTCCTCCTTCTCGTCCTCCCTCTCTCCTCCTGCTCCTCGAAGTTGGGTTTCCGCCATCTCGCACTTCATGGTCTTCGTGTTCGTCTTCCTGCTACTCCTCATCCTCCTCCACTCTTCTCTCCTGCTCATCTTCCATATCCTACTCTCCTATTACCTTCATCCATCCATCCTGTTCCTACTACTCTTCCTCCCACTCTTCCCCAAACTCATTTCCTCTCTTCCCCCTGCTCCCCCACAATCTCTTCATGGTCATCATCTCCTTCCAGTCTCTTCCGAAATCATGACCATTCGCATCAAGCCATTCGATCAGGAACCGACTCAGGAGAGCCGATTGACAGGCCAGAGCGGTTCAAAGGCTCAAAGCCGGTGGAATTCCGACGACAACAGGAGACCTCGAATCCCAATCTCCTCAACATCCCTTCTGCATTCTCCTCCCACCGACACTACCGCCTCTTTCTATAGTATGTACCCTCGTGGTCCTGCTCCTCCTCCTCCTCCTCCTCCTCACCACCACCACCACCACCACCATCCTCCTCCGCATCCTCCTCCTTCAATTCATCACTCCATCTCCCTGCATCACCTCCCTCCCTACTCCTCCTGCTCCGCTATCCTGCCCCTCTCACTCCCTCCTGCCTCCCTGGGGGGATGAAGGAGGGGGAAAGAAAAGGAGAGATAAAGAGAGAGAGAGAGAGAGAGCGGGCAGAGAGGAAGGGGAGGAACGAGGAGGGAGAAGAATGCCACAGAGTGGGAGGATGAGGGCGAAGAGATGGAGAAAGCCTGAAAGCGTGCCGAAGAAACAGGAGGGGGGAGGCGGGGGAAACCATGACATCCGATGTTGCAAACATATGCAACATCGCCAAGAATCACGCCCAGATCCCTGGACCCCATATACATAAATACATATATACACATATGTGTTTGCGTCATGTTCCGAGCCTGATCGATCTGTGAAGGTCACAGGGCCCGACATTGAGCGAAAACCCTCTTTGTGAGAACATCGTAACGTCAGGATCTCAGCGAAGGGGGGCGAGGCGGGGAAAGGCAGGCCGCCGCTGCACCGCCGCGACCGAACCCGGCCCCACAAGGACTGACCCGGGCCTCTCAGGACCCCCGAGGGCCACCCACGAGGAGGAGAAGGAGGAGAAGGAGGAGGAGAAGGAGAAAGGAGGAGGGGAGAGGCGGGGGGTGGAGGAATAGAGGGAGGAGGAGGGAGGAGGGAGGGGAATTATGGAGGGAGGAGGCGGAGGAGGAGGAGGAGAGGAGGAGGAGGAGAGGAGGAGGAGGAGAAGGAGGAGGGAGAAGCGAGGAGGAGGCGGAGGAGGAGGAGGAGGAGGGAGGAGGAGGAGGAGAAGGAGGATGGCGAAGGGGAGGAGGAGAGGGAGGAGGAGCGAGGAGGAGGAGGAGGAGGTGGGGAGGGAGGAGGAGGAGGGTGGATGTTGGAGGGTGGAGGAGGAGGGAGGAGGAGACGGAGGAGAGGAAGGGAGGGAGGGGAGAGGAGGGGAGGAACATCTGGAGGGGGAGACGACGCCATCGACCGACCAGGACGAGGACGGCGGCACTCTTCTCTTACCGCGGCGGCGGAGCCGCCCCGCACAGAAGGGCGTTGACGGCCCGGAGTACTCGGTACGTAGGACGACAGGCAGCCACCCCCCTCGACGGAGTCCAGGGCGGAGTCCAGGCGCGCCGACAGCGCCTTCACCTCCGCCACGGGGTCCGCCACGTCCTGTCCCGGGGGGGGGACAAACCCACCCTGACTCCTGATCCGCCCTACTTTGGGCGATTTCGAAAGTAGGGCGGAAATTTCCGCCCTACTCTTGAGGCCCCTTTGAGCGTCGATTTCCGCCCTTGAGGCTCCTTTGGCGTCGATTTCCGATACAATTTTTTAGGTCGGAAAATCATCCAAAGTACGGCGGATCAGGAGCCAGGGCAGCCCCCCTCGAGTCATGAACAGATCACGACGGGAGGTTTCTGTTCGCTGTGTTCGGCCTCTGGGGGCCTGCGCCCGGCCTCGGGACCGTGAAAGAACGGCTCGGGGTGAGAAACCGGGGCTGGGGGACTGGGGCAGAACCTCGGGGGGTCGACGTCATGAAACAAATCATGACGTCGGGGGTCTGGGTCTGGGGGGCCAAAGGGGCGACGATCAAGAAGGGGTCCTACGCGAGATGACGTATAGCCAGCTTACGCGATGGCCTGTACGCGGGCCGCTGGCGCGGCACGCTGCATTAGAGACGAGGGCGCTTACGCGCGAGCGTACGCGGGCAGCTTACGCGCCAATGTCGGCAAAGACGACCCCCTTTTGGCGTCGCTCCAATGATGCCCGCGACTTACGCCCTGGACATCTTTGCCGTGTTGCGCTCTGACTGGAATTTGTTCAGCGGCATCGTCACCTGTAATGGGGCCCAGGAGCACACAAACAAATGGACAGAAATCCCAGGATTCCCCCTGTGTTTTCATATTTGCTGGGTCTTCGTCTTCCCCCCCACTTCCCATGGTTTCCCACAGTTTCTTTTTTTCCCTGGGAGTCGACGATTCATTGCGTCTGTGTGTGTGTGTTCTTACCCTCCTGAACCTCTCCCTGAGGACACCACCAGGTGCCGATACCGCTGCTCCCCGGACATCTCCCGGGGTGCGTTCCGGCCAGAATTTCGAGGCGAACCCAGGGGTGGCGATGAGGGCCTCCCAAGAGGCCCAAAACGGGGAAAACGGGCGAAGGGAAGAGGTATGGCTACTCCGAGCTCTTTCATAAGCTTCGGGGGGGCGTCGCCCCTGACGGCCCCACATCGACCCCCGTCGCGGGCAGCCACCGCGCGCCGAAGGCGCTCCGAGCCCCGCCGCGGCGCGACGACGAGGCGAGGCTGACCCCCGTCGGGGGGGCACCCCCCCGCGCGCGTTGAGAAACCCAGGGCACCCTTTCCCTCCTCTGCGCCTCTGCCTCCTCTCGGCTGCACGCAAGAGTGACCGTGGGCAAGAGTGACCTTCGGTGCGCGGCTTCTGGGGGGGCCGCCGGGGGACCCAGCACAAGCGTGCAAGACGCTACTACCGCATCGCCTTCGGCGATCGGGGGACCCCATGGGGCCCGCACCAAAGGGCACTCCGGCGAAAGGTCACTCCTACGCATAGCCGATCCTTACCAGCCTGGAGCATATCCCCATCCCCATGCTGGGCATCTCCTCATGACGATGCCAATCCTGGGAACTCCTTATTCTTTGAGGGCACATCCCTAAGATTGTCATCGCCTTTGGGCGTGTCAATCTTAGGGATATAACAGGGGATGTGTCGACCCCTATCCCAGGCTTCGTGGGGGTTCCAAATGGACCAGAAATTTTGGGCCCAACCCTGGGATATACGATGGGGGGGTGTCCATGCTCGGTAGGGGTGCGTCCGAATGGCCTCCTTGGGGTGCATCCCAGGGTTTTCCCATTTTTCTGAGCGGCGAAACTTTTCGGGCGAAACTCGGGGATTGGGGGAGAAACATCGCCCGCGAGGATAGGGATCAGCTCGAGGCTGGTGAGATCCTCGGGCTGCTGCGGCCCCGGGCCCGCTCGGAGCGCGGGCTCGGCGCCCGGACGGGCGGCGGGTCGGCACGGCGAGCGCAGCGCCTCGCTGGGGCACGCAGCCCGATGCCGGCCGGACTCGGCCCCTGCCCGGCCATCGCTCGGACGTCCATTCCCTGTGCTTTTGTTCGGTTTCGTGCGTGGTTTTTTCGC